AAACTAGAAATATCGTACTTCAATGTTTTTGCTATGTATTGTTCTATCAGTTGACGACCTAAAACTTTCATACCTTTGTAAAAAATACATCTTTAATAAGTTGTATTCAACGTGAAAGTTGTACTAAACTTGTCATTAAACCATACAATCGACCTAATATCATTATTAATATTAAAATTAATTTAAGCTTTTTCTTATTTTTATTTACTAAGATTTTCCCAAGCTCCTGATCGACGACGATCAGATGTTGTTTCCAATATTAATTTAAAATATCGTGTACCCATTGATAATCGTAGAAAATTTAATACAATAAAAAAATATTTATTATTCGTACTAGCTAATTGATCAAGTTCATGTGCTAAAAAATAACAACAAACAAAAAACTTTTATGAATTCTTGATATAACAGAAACAAACGCAATAATTTTAATAAAATTAAATCCCATATTTCAATTGGTATTTGGCTAAGATAACAAATCTAAGATTGTATTAATGATGATTTTATATTAAATGGTCTAAAACAAAAAAAATTATTGGTTAAATTAAATTTGCTCAATGTTTTATTATTCCTCTAAACTTACATAAATTGTACAAAAAACGTTTTTTTGTTGGTGAAGATAATCAATCATTTACAGAAAAATATTTACGTTTTCCGATACTCATCATGTTGATAATGAAAAAAAAACGATCCGATCAATTTGGACGGAAAAATCTTTCTTTTTTAAATATAAGAGTCAAATATGTTCAAAATTATCTATGTTTTGAAAACTATCAAGAAAAATATTAAATTAGAATGAATTTTAAAAATTATTTAATTAAATATATAAAAAGTAATATCACATATTTTCTTTTTTTTATTCAAAATTTAGATGTCGCTAATTATTAAATAATAATTGGTCATCCAATCGGATGAATAACTGTGCATGTGAGTATATATCGTAAATAAATCACATTCAAAAAAAAAAAAAAAGATTGTTCTTTCGATCGAATTGTAAATAACCCTAATGTTAAATATAAAATGTTTATAATTGATGTAAAGAAATCTCTGGTTGGTTTCTTTCGTATAACATATATGCTTAACGAATCTATCATCAGCGTTCTGAATAATGAGTGCACCAAGCAAAATCAAAGTGAGTGTGCCACACACTCATTTGGATTCGCACGCTATATTGCATCCTACTCAAAAAAAATAGAATGAACCTGCTGCACTCTATTATAAAATGTTTCACTTTGTTTTATATTGGTTATTTCGTCTTTACAATTAATTTTCTTATTTATTATGTTCTTTCATTCAAGCAAGTAGTCTTATTCATTATTTCAGATAATGAAGAACAAGCAGTCATCGAAACACTCTCAAATAGCATCTACATTGCTTACGTATGTGGCTTATGTGTCACATAATATCAATATGAAGTATTAGAGAAACAATTCGTCGAGGAGCTGAAAAAGATGCGAAAAAAGAAAAACATTAGAAGAAAAAAACTTATCTGAAAAGGTCTTAGTTTCACTGAATATTTGAAGTTTTTCAATCACTACGGAGTCTGAGTTGTTAGTTCGTGTGTCTTTTGTCGTCATATAGGTTTTCTTCTTTAGATAAATTGTAATCAAAACGTAAGGTGAACGTAACAAGAGTAGGTTGAAAAGTACATGAGTTAGAGTCTAGAACCTTTTTTTTTTTGTTTACATCGGCACGTTCACTCTTAAATCTTCCCGCTTTGATTATAACGAATAAAATAAAAAAAAAGTATTTTATTAAAAGTAGTCTTTTGACTTGACTAGTCACCAGTTTTGCCTTTGAACATGGTGTAAACGTTATTCGAAAAAACAAAATGTAGAGATCGATGATGCTCTTAAAAGCATAGTGTACTTTTATATTCTATTTCAGATCCCGATTAAAAACATTGGAAAAACTATTTCTGATCGATTATTTCAAATGTCGTATAATTTTGTTTCAAGTATATTTAATCATACAAGTAATAAAGAGCCAATCGCAATTCCTCGATCGAAGCTAAATACGTATTTACCACCTTTGATTACATCTACACAAGCAAATATTTTATTAGTCTCAAACAAAATCTTCAAAAACGTTGATAAAAATACGTATAACTATATGACAATAGCAAAATCTCTTTCTTCGCCCGTAACTTTTGTTTTCGATCGACTTAATGATGATGAAATCGAAGCAAAAGAAAGAGAATTAGATGATCGATTGAAACAAGATGATGAACAAGCATTAAGGAATGCTAATCAGTTATGTGAAGAACAAGATAATGTTTCTACGAAACAACAAGCAAAAACAAAGTCGAAGAAGAAAAGTTCGACGAACAACAAACAAATGAAGAACGATGTAAGTAAGACGAATCAGATATCATCTGAGATAGTATTCGATAGTTTCTACTGTAATTTTAAGTATAATATGATAGTTTCGATCGTTAATAAGTAGTTGAATAATATATTCTAGTTTGGACAGAAACATTGCATAATCTATTTGCGAAAAGTTTTTGCACAAAATTAATCTTCATTTTTTTTTCACTAATTGGCTGCACAGAACAAACAATAGTCGTTATTTAGAATGAGAATTTCACTCTTTCTAAATATATATTCAGAACTTTTTTTTTCGATTTAAAGTTGATTTGATAGGAGCAAGGTTTCAAAGAGGACTAAAATTGGCATTTGTATAGAATTGTGTATGTAGTGAATTTTTGTACATTGACTAAAAGTACCTCAATTCTAATTATAAAGAAGCTTTTTTATGCAATAGTTTATAGAACACAGTTTGCTCTATAAAATAAACTCTTTGCTTTGCTTTTCATATATTGTTGAAAATCATTAGAATTTATTGTATGATAAATATCAAAATTCTCAAAAACCGATGTTGTTTTGAAGAATTCCATTTCAGTTATAGAATAGCATTTTAGAAATGTTATAGGTAGATTAATCGATTAAATTGAGGATCATCTATTATGGTTTTATAAATTAGAAAATTTTATCAATAGATACCGACATATTTCTCAAGACTACGATTGGTTGATAATTTAATTATTGAAAATTTTATTTTTTCTTTTTTTTTTTTTGGACCGTATTTATTAAAAAATGAAACTTTCTTTAAAGAACGTGACAAGAAAAATTCTCTTGCTTGGTCATGAAATCTCATCGTTACGTTTGAACAAATATTTTCTAATATTTCCACTTGTTCAATCATTGCAAAAGAACATAGAATTTTGATGCGTACATATAGAAGCTGAAACGAAAAATAATTTTATTTAGAAATAAGCTGATATAGTTCAGCAGAGGTTTCATAGAATATATGTTCACAAGTGTTTTTAAAATTTTTTTTTGAGTTGAATCAGCTTGTACAAAGTAATATTATCAGTAGTAAACAGGTTTTAACCGAACAGCAATCTTTATTATCAATGTATACTGCATAAAATAAGATATCAGTTAAAACTCATATGAATCGAATGTTTATAATTATTCTTCATATAAATATGAGGTGTATTAGAAAGTTTTACTTTAAACAATACCTATAGAATCTTCTATTCGATAATTAATTTAGAATTAAAAAACAATCTTTCTTTTGTTTTTCATAATGGCGCCTACAACAAAAACAATAAGTAGACAAAGTACAGTCAAGGACAAAAGTTTAAGTAAAATTAGTTTTTTATTATTTTTTTCAAATTTTTTTTACAGCATTTATTTTTTCAGATTATGAGGTATGGGTCTGGTTCAAACAGTGATACGAATGATATGAGAGGTCAGCTACATGATGTATTATAGAACGAGATTCTGTCTACCTATATAGATATTTTATAATAGAAAAAAATTTTTTTTATAGAAAAACAAGATTAGATGTTATTCAGTATTTCGTATTTCCTAGACCAAGAGATTTATGCTAAAATAAAAGAAAATGATATCAATCGATAGAGCATTTTACGCTCTATCAATTTATAAAAAAAGAATTTTTCCTAGAGTCGATCTTCACCTCTAAAATTTGACTTTAGTGAGAATAGTTAGCATTTTTCTCCTATCAAAATAATTAAGAAAGAACAGCTAGTTGTATTTTGCAAAACTTTATTTCAATAAGGTGAGCTTGAAAAATCAGTGGTATTCGAACTTCATATATATAAAATTTTGTTTAGTTTTGAATGTTCTTTTCAATGGTGTATAAAACATTATGATAAGAGGGAATTAGTAGGAAGTAATGTTATTTTTTCTGTTTTGCTGACTATTCTCCCTAAAACCAAGTTTGAGAGGGGAAGATCGACTCCAGGAAAAAAACCTTTTTTATAAACTGATAGAGCATGAAATACTGAATGGAACCTAATCCTGTTTTTCTATAGAAAAAAATTATTTTGATTATAAAAAAATTCACATAGGTAAACAGAGTCTCGTTCTATAATACATTTTATAACGGGTCTCTCATACAATCTATATCACCATTTGATTTAGACCCATATCTCATAATATGGAAAAAAAATGCTATAAAAGAAATGTGAAACAAAAATAGTGAAAAACCAATTTCACTTAAACTTTTGTCCTTGACTGTACCTGAAATGAGATGCTCCCGTATTTCGGTTCTATTTTTCTTTCATGGACAGATGAAATGAACTTAAAGAAACAATTAGTAGCACAAAGATCATGAATAACCTTACAATACATGTTGTTGCGACAAAATATCAAAGCTCTATATTTATTAATTCCGTTCGTATTTTTATACGGAGAATATCTTCACGTTGTGAAAATAGCAAAATCGAAGATAAAGGAAAAATCATAAAATGAGATAACTAGAGAAGCATAGCTAACTATAAAATGAGGATACTAGATTTCAGTGCTTCCAATAACTAATAATTCGAAATATTTTTTCAGTTTCGATTCTTAGAAGGATATGAAATTCTATATTCTAATTCTATTCTAGAGTAAAATTGTAGATCTTTATTTCAAGTATCATCGATATGTTAGTTCACTGCATATTATATTACATCTGTAATTAGTGCATGTCATCATCTCTTGTTATGTATAGATTCAATCTTTTTTCACAGACTAGACTAAATTGATAGAAAAAGATGAGCAAATTTGTGCTAGATTGTCTTTTTCTTCGTCAATCATTGTCATTATATATTTAATAAAGACTATCAAATTACATTTATTTGACGAATAGCAGATTAGTTCTAACCATTTTTCTTTCATTTATTACTAGGTAATGTTTACACCAGAACTTCTTTCATCGTCAATGAACTTCATTTCATCTCCTTCACATATAACAACAAGCAGAGATAACCAAGAGAATATATCAACGTGGTGTATATCTGAAGAAATAAAGGAATATAATTTGGACAATGTCGAATTTGAACATGATGAATTGATTGATGATCCATGTTATAACAATGAAAAAATGCCTGAAGTCAATCAATTCAAGGAAGGTTAGTTCACATTTGGCTTAATCTTCGAGGAAACAGAATTATTTCGTTCAAGAAAAAATATAGCTCATTCATGTTATGTCATTCTAACACAGACAATAGTTTCTGGCATCTCCACAGCTTTACGAGAAACTTCTCCAGCTAATAAGGAATAAGGAACAGAATTTTAAGGCAAAATTTTTCGAGCATCTCACATTTCACAATTTTTATTTGATTTAAGATGAGTTTATTTCTGGATCAAAATTAAAAGTAAGTGGTGATTAGTTATTCGAATGTATGATTGTCGAATTGATCTAGGAAGTCTCATAAGCAAAACTATTGATTGATTTGTTCACTATCTATTGGAACAAATCAGTTAACTAATGCTCATTTCAAAAAAGAAAAAAAGGCGGGTGAGTATTTTTGTTTTTTAATAACTTTTGATAGGAACAAGATAGAGAGTTGCGTTTTTCACCGTTGGAAAAAGACTGATTCAATGCATCAATTCATATATAAAAATGTTGAGATTTATTTCATATTAGAATAGTGAAATATCGTCATCTTGGAAAAGTAGATTGTTACTCTATGAAGATAGAACAAATGTAAAACTTTGACAAATGGATTAGAATCGTCAGCTAACGGACTACAAAACTATATATATAAGTTTTGATTTAAATCTTTACTGTTTTGGAAGTTCTCGATATTATATTCAACAATTTTAGTCCATTTTGTCAGTAATTTCTATAAAAATTACTCAGTTTTGTTGAATTTATTCCTGGAAAAATCAAACCTATTTTTTAAGGCATTTCTTTCTTCAACTACTGCAAAAGGATCCAAAAACCCAAGTTAAAAGTCATTATCTTATATAGTTTGATGCATTTTCATCTACTCTTTCTAACGGTGAATACCACAGCTTTCTACTATGTTCGTATCAAAAGTTATTCAACAAAATATCTAGCCGGCTTTTTTTGTTTGAAATAGATCATTAGTGACTTTATTTCTGCCTTGTTGGTTATGCTTCAACAAATTTTAAAATTTATTTTGATCTGATTTTCTTATCATTATGGATTAAATACGATTAATTCGATCCTCGCGCTTGACGAAAAGTTCTAAAAGTAAAAACTTTTGACTTGATTGTCATTGGCCTATTGAATTATTAAATCAAAGTTACAGTTGAGGTTCTATGAATTCCTTTAAGAGCTACTATCTAGATCTTCCAATAAATTCTATCGGTGAATGAGCAACACATTCCTGTCATAAATATTATTTCTATATGTCAGTCTTAGGTTAGAATGGAATGAAGAAATATTTGATAGAAAACTCTTTTTAAAGACTTTTCAAATAACAACTCGAGAAGATATGTTTAAGTATTCAAAGTTTTTCAATGATTCTCAAGAAGATCTTAACTGAGAATTATGTTTGATACCTATCAGATTTGCTTGGATACAAATAAATCATTATCGTAGTTTTATGTGTTGACATTTATATTATGGTTCACAAGAACCTGTTCCAATAATTTTTGTCTGATAAGTCAACTCTGTGTCCCTATATTCAGTTTCAAACAACATTTATAAAATTAGAACATTATTTTAGTAAATATAGAGATTGGTAATTTCTTCATAATCATCTACCATTGTACTAATCTTACCAAAGTAATTAGAAAAAAACAAGCCTATCTACGGATTACATTTTTTCATCGGAAAACGGTTTATAATTTAATGAGATGTACAAGAACATATAATAGTAAAGATACAATAAGACAAATTTTAAGTTTATGATTGATTTTACTTCAGATTGATGTTAATCATGAATAATTCAAACATATTATTTTGTTCATCTTCAGCAAATTAATCATAAACTTGAAATTTATTTTTTATATTTCTATTATTATATGTTGTTGCATATGTCATTATAGTATAAACTTAGATTGAAGAATTCAATAATATATTTCATAGAATGAAAAACGTTTTGATGTTTACATGTAAAATCATTGTAGTTTTTGATTATGATAATTATATTTCTTTCCCTCATTAGATATTCAATATGAAGATCCAGTCGTACATTGTCAGAATTCTCAAGATCAATTTGAACAAATTCTTCGTCAATTTCATAAAATAAATCACAAATTAGATGATATCTATGAATATCTATCATCTGATCGTATAATAAACATCATTCAACGTAAGTTCTTCATAGAACTTCCGGAACCATTATCCAGCCGAACATACTCAGCATCCACTTCCAACGAGATGCATAATCTCTTTGCTATATTTGGTTTACAATTTGAGCATGATTATAAAAGACTGTGGTCAGAAACATTTCCAAAACTAATTCGACCCTGTTTTCGACCAGGATCCATTCAAATTGATCTTTTTGGTTTTGCACATCTTCGCACGAATCCTTCTATTCCTTCTATTACATCACCAAATATTGATCCAATAGATTCATACAATTCATATACAGTACTAAAGAAGAAAACAAAAGAATTTTGTGCGAACCAAATTTTAATAGGTGAAGTTACAACATCTTGTCTAGATTTTAAAGATTGTAACCAAGAATCAATTGTAAGTTTTTGTCTTGATATTTTATTGTTTTTCTTTATGTACTTGTTCCTTGTTTAGTTGAACGATGTATCAACAAAAAAATTGATTTACAAAATTCTTCAACTGGAACGTATACTTTTTTTTTTAATGAAGTTTTATTATAAATCAAGTGGTCCGGAAAATTTTATTGTTATCTTATCTGGTCGATTTAACAAGCACCGATCACCAAGTCGTATTCTGGATTCAATAATGATGAGTAGCAATTTAACTCTTACATTTCCTTTACTTTTCTATTTGTATAGAAAAAATCGTTTTCTTTTTATATGATCAACATGTTTTTGTATGCTATTCATATAAAATCATCTCCTTCATATTGAACATAAAAAGATGTTTCAGAAGTTTCCCTCCTATTATTGTTTTTATTTGATCTTTACTGTACTTGGACATAAATAGACATTGACTATATATTTGTCAAGAACAGGAACCAAGCTATTATCTAAGAGAAATTATAATTAGTTTGCATTGATTCTAAGCCTATACCAAGTACATGTCCAGAAGAATTTTCACAATTAATGAAAAGTTTTTGTTTATTTTTAATATTTATATATTCTTCTATATAAAAATAAATTATTTAAATTGTTGGCAAAGTTTATCACAAGATCGACCAACATTCAGTCAATTATATGACCAAATTAATAAAATTATTAAATTAAATTATTCAAATAATGAATTAAATATTATGGAAACAAATGATGAAACATATTCATCATTACAACAAGATTGACGTAAAGAAATTCAAGATATTTTTGAAGGATTAACAACAAAAAAACAAGTAAGCAGAAAACAAAAAAAGAAATGCCTATAAAAGATATTTTTCTTTGTAAAGGAAATTCATGATCGTGAATAAGCAATGCTTCAATTAACAATACAACAAAATCATCAATGAAGGCGTTTACAACAATAGGAACAAGAATTACATGAACGTGAATTAAAATTATTAATGTCAGCTAATAATCAAGAATATCTTCATCAACAAACACCTAAAGTACAAAAACGTTCAGGACATTCTGGACTTTCACTTTTACATGCAGAACTTAATGGTTCAACTACACTTTCATCAACTACAGCATCAAATTTAATTAGTCGTCCAACATGTTTGATTTTTTTTTAAAGACAATAAAAAAGTTCTTCAAGTTTCTTTTTTTCATAAATTTTTCTAGATTTTCGTCATTTAGTGTCTATTTGTCGTGAACAAAATTTACATCATCAACCGGCTATTGATCATAATTCATCATCATCAACGAATCCTAATACTATATTACCAACATCACCAACATACATATCAGGTTCAACAAATAATATACATTCATCAAATTCAACAATGATGCAAATACATTCTGATTCATCAAATAATCAAAATTTCTCGCATAATTTATATACAAATCAAAGTACACTAGCAACACCAAATTTAAATCGACTTCAGACATTAACTTGAATGTATTTCAATTGAATTATAATTTCGAAAACTTTTTTGTTTTCTTCTTGAAATGAATTTTTATAATAATTAATTAAAAGAATAGCATATATATATATATATATCATTAGAAAAATAATTTCTCTCGCGCTATTCTATAATTGTTTTTTTTTCTATATATTAAGATATTTAGAGAGAGAGAGAGAATAATCTTCATTTGCTTTGTATGACGATAATTCAAGCTCATATAATATGCATAATTTAGATTCAATCATAAATCATATGCTTCTTTTATTTAATCTACTCATTATAATTCTTTATTAACATTTTAATAACATGTATTTGTTGTGCATGTAATATAGGGTTAAGCCTTGACAAATAGCAAAAAAGACAAACAAAAAATTGTTTTCTTTTTAACTTTTGTATCTATTTTTATTTTTACTTCACGTTACCGTTTTATCTGATGAATTCGAAGATAAAACAACTGAAAAATCTTCACGTTGTGCATCAACTGGTCAAGCTAAAGTACCATCAATAAAACTAGAACATTCACGTTAGCCTAAATCTAAACCATGGTCACCATCATCATCAACATTTAAACAAAAACATGGAAAAAATAATACACATCTTGGTAAATCGAAATGGTACATTGAAACCTCACCTTTTTAGTATCATTTTGAAGAGCTTAAAATTCTGAACATAAAACATCAAGTAGAATTGTTTTTCATATCCACCATGAAAACTATGATCGAACAATCTTTGGTTTCTTTGGTCATGACGAATTGATCACGCAGATCTTTACTTGCGAGAGATATTAACCACATTGTTTCTCATATCGAATTCATAATGTATTTAGTTTATTGTCATATAGAAGATGATATACACAAACATTTTAAACTTGTTTTTCTATTTATTAAAATAATTCTATTATTTGCTTATCAATTATATGAAAACATTATATTCGAATAAATTTACAGATAATTAAATAAATCAGAAAAGTATTTCAAGTTTTTCAACAATGATTTGAAATTAACTTCAATTTAAAGAAATCTATTCAATCAAATGATTTTTTTGTCATCTAAAACTTGAGAAAAGATATAAAATGTTCTAGTTATTCCTTATTTAATAGAAAATAATCGACTTTTTCGTATAGAACGTTTTATAATAGTTTTGGTTAGACCGCTATTATTAGTATCTAGTGGCGCGACCAAGATTTTCTATCAATTTGAGCTAAGCACACTTCTTATATCACCATTAACAGTATGCTTTCTTTACTACTGTCTTCTCTTGATCTATATGCTAATGATGAATTATGTCAGAATGTTGATCTAAACAGAAGGCAATCTTTCATATTCAAAAAATGTATTTTAACAGTAAGTGAGAATCGGACATAAAACTTTAATATTGGTAACGAAATTCGATAGAACTTAATAACTTTTTCTATGAAACGATTTTTCTTCATGACTAAACAAATTCTTCTATCTGTAATAGGAAAAAGAAACAATTAGTTTCATAGTTAAGACTTAACCAAATAGTTCTATATAAAATACCCGTAAATGAAGAATAAATTCTATTTGTCTAAAATTTTCAAAAAAAAATAAATAAATGTTAACTGTTTGTTTAATAAAAGTATGCTCCATATCGAATTTTAATAATATTTTGAAAAAAAAAACATCGATTCCTTGTATTGCTTTATTTTACGTAAGATTTCCAATGACATCAGAAGATAAGTTTCGTTAAAATCTTGGTTATGCAGTATAAAAAACATAAAACAATTCGATTCACTTTAAATATCTTTGTATTGTTTTTCATCTAGATTTAATTGAGCATTAGATACATGTATATTCACGAAAAAACCTTTCTTCATATGTATAATCGTTTCAATAAAAATTCAAAGATTTTTCTTTTTTTCTATATTTTTTTTCATAGTACCAGATATAGATAGAAAATAATGATAAGAAAATAATCTCGGTATGTTGAAGGTTGTCATCTAATATATCCACATATTTAGTCGTCGTCAGAATCATTGTTATGATGAGGGTGTGGATGTGGTGTTTCGTTGAAAAAGAGGCTCACACCTATACTCACATCCCACCGGATCCCAAACTCAATTGTATGGAACACATTGCTTATTGACAGTTTTTGCTGTCGAGCTTGCCTTTAGTAAAATGAGTCTAGTCTCACAGAGACTTGATAAATGTCGATGAAATTCTTATCAGAGATAACCAATATACAGAGATTTTAAAACGACGAAAGCCAAAGCTCAAAGAACTTTGTTTTTGTCAAGTTATAGAGTCCACAATGACTATGAACTGTTTGACTAATAACTCCCTCGTGAATTATTCTTTTGATTTGTGGGCTTTGTTGTTGGTCTACATTTATCAAATATTACACAAACTGTAATTTTCAGCATGTCAGCTCGTATGATCGTTTAGATATGAAAGGACGAATAGTTTTGTCCAGCATTGTAAAATAAGCATGTTTGATGAGTGTGAGTATGAGTTTTCTTTTCACTCACACCGATAAAGTCGAGTCGTTTTTTTTTAAAAGAAAATTCTTCTGGACTGGCAACGATGACTACAACGTTATAACTCTTTTTTGATTTCAAGTTTCTAATTACATGATTATTCTTCCTTATTATTAATTATTTGATACTAAATTAAAAATAAATTAAAGTAAAATTATATTAAAGAATAATACATATTTTAAAAGAAAATTATAATAATAAATAATATAACATTTCCACATACGAAGAAGTCTTCGTCAAGCTTTTTTATGAATTAGATTTTTCTTTTAAATATTAAACATGTGAGAGTGAGTCGACAAGATGGTGATAATGGCAGGAAAGATAGATTATCTTTCCTGTTCTTTCATTTCAGTCTTATATGTTTAACATATAAGAGGAAAAATAAAAATTATTTATTATTAATTACTATAATTTTCTTCTAAAATTGTTATTATTCTCTAATATACTTTGTAGATCAAAAATATAATATTAATTTAATTGATAGTGTAATTGAAAAGCTTAATCAGATTACCATTCGTTGTCATCGAGAAAATTCTTAGATATTTAATATTCTTATTTATATTAATAATGTACGTTTCTCAAAATTTTATATATTTTATTATGCAATGTGAAAAAAGAACTAAGATATGAAAATCATATCGACTTCAAATAACTATATTTCATGTATTTAATAAAGATACTTTAAATTATTAGGTTAAGTTATTTTTGCTATTAACTGTTGTAAAATTGTCTGTGCCTTAAGATTAAACATCGAGTAGAAATTAAAGAATGACATATATTAGTTTGTTTGAGAAAGAAAGAAATCATGAAAATGAAAGCATTATGCATGAAAAGATATATTTATAAATTGTAGAAATGATTAAAATTTCTATTAGAATAATTTTCTATTAAATTCCAACTCATTTTCCTGCTAGATTTCTCATATATGTAATTATGCAATCTCTGTTTGATATTTAAGATGCAAAATACAAACATACTATTTTTTTCAAAATTTATATTATGACTAATAATGATCAGTATTAAAAAAATGTGTAAAGTCAGATGCAGAAAGCTTTATAAGATGTTCTCTTCGAGAAAATGAATTTTTACTGATTTTATTTTCATTTGAATAAAATCATTTCATATTTTTATATTCAGTAGTAATAGAAATAAACTTGTTTTGTTAAATCTGATGTTTACAAGTAATGAAAAACTAGTCAACAATTATTATTTTTTGATCTGAATATAGTATTTATTCGTTTGTCTTGTGTTTTACATGAAAAATATTTTTAAACCTAAAACATTATATTGTAAATAAATTACAATTACGAAGTATTCAATATTGTTAATTTGATTTTTATTTGATTAAAACTTAGCAGAAATATTTTATCAATTAATAATATGCTGCCATTCATTATCCTTGTTTGATGAAGCAGGCAAAAAGAAAACAGAAAGAGCAAACAACAAGGTTTTTAGTCTTATTTTTGGCTTTTTCGTTTTTTTTTCTATTATGAATGACGACGATGCAATTCTTTTTTTTAAATATATTTCATTGGTGTTTTTTTTTCTCGTCTCATGTTGAATGCATGTAAACAAATTTTACTTGCAACATTTCGTTAGCAGTATTTTAAAAAGAAAAAAAAATGAACGTTCGAAATAAGAAGTCCTTGAAATAGGTTGCAAGCAGCCTAATAAAACCGAAAGTGTGTGTGGTTGTATTTGAAGAAGAACTCAGATTCACACACACACCCTCAACAAAGAAAAACTTTTTCTAAAAGACGAAGAAATTTTATCTATTTTATAAAAACAATTGAAAGATAAAACGAGTATTGATTTAAGATAAAGACTCGAAATTTGATTTAAAAATTTTAAAGAAAAGATTTATCTACTATAGAAAAACAATGTAGGATTTAATCATNTGTTACTGAGGAATCTGGATGCACCAAGACTATGCAATGGTACAAGACTGTGCGTGAAAAGCTTAATGCCTCATGTTATTGAAGCAACTACCTTGACAGGCTGCGCAAAGGGTGAGGATGTATTCATACCACAAATACCCATGGTTCCTACTGATATGCCTTTTGAATTCAAACGTCTACAATTTCCAGTTCGTCTCGCCTTCGCGATGTCCATCAACAAAGCTCAAGGACAGTCTCTTAAGATTGCCGGCATTGACCTAGAAATCCCTTGCTTTTCTCACGGTCAACTTTACGTGGCATGTTCAAGAGTTGGAACTGGAAAAAATTTGTACGCCTTTGCCCCTGATTCGAAAACTAAAAACATTGTGTATCAATCTGCTTTACAATAAAACTGTTTTTCAGTACAGATAGATTTTTTTTAAACCTTCCTCTGTGTCAAGGATGTACTGTCAAATTTCCCGGGCAACGCCGGGTATCTCCGCTAGTATACATTATAAAACATAAATTAATATTAATTAAATTCAGAATAGAACGAATATTTCTACTAAATTTATTGTACTTAAAAATGAATTTAAATAATTATACGAAATAGATATTTATTTTGTTCTAAATGAAACAGAAATTATTTGAATAGATTTTTTATTTGATTTAAAAATTAATAAAATAATTTCATTTTTTTACTTTCGTCAAAAATAAAGCAATTAAATAATGTTGTTTTAATTTAAATGAAATGTAATGTAATAGAATAAAATCTAATCTGTTTTTAATCTAAAGCGAATCGAATAACTTTGTCAATTAAATTAGTTTATTTTATTCTAAACTAATAAGATACATAAATTAACATCATTCTAGTATGACATAATTAAGAAAATGGAATGGGTGTCAAAAAAATTGTTAAATACGTTTGATTTTTTGTTGATGTTTGGCGACTATGGATGAAAAGTACGTGTAAGACAAGGTACAATTTTGTATTAAATTATTAGTCTTTCAGAGATTATTTTAATGATAATTTGTAGCTATGTATTATATGTCGCATGTGTTGCTTTCTATAATTTAACATAATTTCAAGTGTAAGTATTCTGATTTTCTAAAGTGAATTAAACTGTTTAAAAAATGATCGATGTTGAATAAAATATAATATTGAAAGATAAAATTTTTGAATAAAATAATCGTTTATGAAAATAAGTCTTTCAATGTTTTCTATTCATTTGTTACGGCTCGAATAAATCTATTCTATTGTTTATCTTTTATATTTTCATTAGATAAGATAAGATAATATTTAACAATAAATACTAGTTCTTCTTATTCAACATGATGATATCGTTGTTCTTATTTCAGTTATTATAAAAGAGCATTTTATTCAGTGACAAGGTATATTTGATTGTGTAAAGAAAACGATCAATAATGAAGTATTCTATGGTCTTGTGTCTTATTTTCATCAATGGATATATTTCTTTTCCAATGTTAAATAGTCAATTGGATGATTCGTGGAATTTATTTAAACACGTTTTCAAAAAAACATATCTATCAAATCAAGAAGAAACATATCGGTTTGTTTTAAATCTTTATTTAGAAAAAAAAACAAGATCGTTTTATTTCTAATATAAATTAAAATAGTCGTCAAATTTGGGAACACAATCTTTCAATTATTCGTAAACATAATCTTGAATCTGATTTGGGTATACATACATATACACTTGAAATGAATCAATTTGGTGATATGGTATAGAATATTTTTACTAAAAAAGAAACGAAATTTAGTTTAAATTTTATTTTATATATTTAAAGACAAATGAAGAATTTCGCAAGCAAATGAATGGTTTTCAAATGAATTTAAAAAATAAAACAAAACAAATTGATCGTCATAGATTTTTAGCTCCATCACATATTGTTTTACCAGAAAGTGTTGGTAACGAATCTTTTATATTCTTAATTTAAAATATAATATATTAAAAATAATTGAATAGATTGGCGTACAAAAGGTTATGTAACACCAATTAAAGATCAAGGTCAATGTGGTTCATGTTGGGCTTTTTCAACAACAGGATCACTTGAAGGACAGCATTTTGCTAAAACATCCAAACTTGTTTCACTTTCAGAACAAAATTTAGTTGATTGTTCACTTAACTTGGGATGTGATGGTGGTGTTATGGATATTGCTTTTCTTTATATCAAATCTAATGGAGGTATTGATACAGAATGGTCATACCCATACGAAGCTGAACGTGGAAGATGTCGTTTTGATCCACAAAATATAGGCGCTACTGATACAGTAAGTGTTGATGTTTTAATAAAAAACAATTGATTTGATTTTCTCATAGGGTTTTGTTGAAATAAAAATGGGAAATGAAACAGATCTTCAAGCTGCTATAGCTACTGTTGGTCCAATATCAGTAGCTATTGATGCTTCGAAAAGTTCATTTCAATTTTATTCATCTGGAGTTTATGATGAACCTCATTGTTCAACATATTTACTTGATCATGGTGTTTTAGCTGTTGGATATGGTACTGTTAATTCAAAAGATTATTATATTGTTAAAAATTCTTGGGGAACTAATTGGGGAAATCAAGGTTATATTTGGATGAGTAGAAATAAACACAATCAGTGCGGAATAGCGACTGTTGCAAGTTATCCACTTGTTTAAAACGATTTATTTGTTTTTAAACTACTAACGAAATAAAATATTTGACCGATGAATAGTTACAGAGGATGTATGAGTATTACATAAAATGTAACGTAATTAATTGAAAGAATAGAGGACGAACTATAGTGTTGATTTGAAGAATGGTATTATGAAATCATATGATCAAAATAATATTCGTTTATAAACGTAATAAAAATTGTTTGATTAAAAACGATTAATTCAATGTCAGAAAATAGTGGAAAAAAAGGAACATCAGCTGAACCTAATGAAGATGTATCAGGAACAGCTGGTTTAGAACGAACAGTAGGAACAACATCAACATCAACTGGAATAGTTGAACGAACTGGTGTAACAGCTGCTATGCCTGATACAGGAAGTCTTGATCATTCTCATACTAGTCAAGATAATCAACATTTTCAAATAACATCTGGATTACCTACTAATACTGGAGCTGGTGATTTAACTACCGTTCCTTCGAATCAATAGATAAATGAACATTTTTTTCCTTTTATTATCAATAATCGAGCTACGATAGATATTTAATCAGGCTTTTATCAAATTAAATCATATTATTCTAATTATATATAAATTAGCTATTTTTCAATTAACGTAAAGATAGAATATGAATTAGTTCAACGTGACTTTCCAAGGTGATAATCTTGTAGTGTACCTTCATACAATCAGATGTAATTGTTTTCTAAATGTCGATCCGTAAGTTTTTCTTAGACTATCAAATCTGAAAATGATAAAAGCGAATGTTACTACAATTGGTTGAATTAATCAAGAGAAGAACCATATTGATAGGCACATACTGACACTAACACTGATCGCTAGTGTCATGCATACATTTTATATTAATATTGATTTGACTTGTATAAAAGTATATTTTATAGAAAGGAATTGAACGTTAACTCGAGTTTTAATTAATTTAAAGTGATCTGGATAAATAATCATTCATTTAGTCATTTTTCAATATAATCTTGAATTACTCATAATAGATCTATAAAAGTTTATTAATTGTTTCAATATTGAAAAATAGTTGAAAACATTCATCACTCGAAACTCATCTTTGTGCTCAATTCTCTTGCAACAATTGATTAATAGTTCAATTTTCGATGATTTTATGAATTGTTAATTATTTCAAATGACATAATTAAACTTGAAATATTTTTGTTCAATTCAAATTTAATCAAATGATCCAAGAATATAGTCTAATAAATAAAATGCATTTTTATCTAAAACTTTCTACGTTAGAATATAAGAATTGTAATAATTATTTGAGAGACATTCTTAATAGTTTCGAATAGAATGCATTGTTTGCTCTACAAAACTTATAGAGAACATAGAATTTGTGTTGATCAGTTTTCATCGAAAAAGTTCATCTTTTTTACAATTTGGACATAATCATCTCATTTCTTAACAACCGATTGAAATTCTCTTGCTAAGACGATTATATTTTTATGAAATATGATCATTATCGATATATTGACGAAGTTTCTTTCGAATATCTATCATTATTTGCCGAACTTGTTTATAATATATAGGATATAACAGAGATTGAAATATGTTAGAAAATTCACCTGTTTTTTTTTACTATTCGAAATAGTTTCATCATAATCCAATTCTACGGTACAATGAGCAGGTAACATATTCGTAAAGAATCAATTGAGTTTTTCGATAAAGATAACTGTTATTTAATCTGATTGATTATTGTTTAATTTGTTCTATTTAAACTTAATATTTCTGTTATATTTGTTGCATCTATATTTTTGATTTATTTGAAGAATTATGATAATAGAATAAAAATCTGTTTAGGACAAAACAAAACTATTAATAGAACATGTTCAATCTAAGTAAATTAAGTCAATTGCTTTTCTTTTCTAACTATTAAGGGTGAGTGTGGGGGTCGGTAAGTTTTGCTGGTGTGTTGCTTTTTATCCTTACCCACATCCACACATCCTCATAGTAATACGTTGTCAATATTTTTTGATTCAACTTTCCTATTTACTTTTTATTAGTCGATTGCAAAAGATCTTTTGCCCATATTCAACAAACTATGTCATTCTCAATGTGCTTATCAATTTTTTCTCTGAGCAGATAAAAGTACTTATTTAAGTGTTTCTTGTGCAAACGCACAGACCTCCCCGTGAAAATAAAACACAAAGAAAAAGCATTTTTATCCACCAAGATAAGTTTTATCGTGTCAGATTCTATCGAACTTTATGACATTCGGACGGCTTTCAACAGTTAATATCAGAAAGGATCTGATGATTGAGACTCAATGCTTTCTCACAACTTTTCGAAAAGGGTGTGAGTATGGAATAGAGTCCATGATGTAAATGAATTACAAAGTCATCCAAAAAAATTGATTAAATATCAGGATCTACCAAGGTCTACTTGACTTTTCTGGCACCATCATCGAAAGATGTGATGAAAATAGTTCCAAGACACCCACGGAAAGACTCTGATAGACCCTGTTATTTTATCAATTTCTTTGAATTACTTTGTAATTCATGTACGTAATCCAGTGATGAAATGACTTATGGCTGTGGGTGTGAAACAATAGAAGTTCTACGCTCGCACCCCACACCAACGCACAATCGTCATTCTTTGTCAATTTCTTGGTTTTTCTTTTCTTTGTATATTGTGAGATGATTCAAGTATTTATTCTGATTATGACAAAAGAATATTGTTGAAATATCAACAACTAAATACAATGTGACTAGTTTAAATTATAATGTTTGTGGCTGTTCTTTACTTCCTTCTCTCTCTATTTAAAGTATTAATGATTTTGCTCTAATAATTTTCAATGATTGTAGTAATGATTCGATTCTTGTTCGTCCTACAAAAAAATCATATTAGGTTTTTTTCTTTTTTGTTTTTCTATACATACGACGAACAAGTAACGTTGTATGTGCATTTGCTGATCCAAGACTATTCTGCGCTAAACATTCATATAGACCAGAATCATTTTGTATTGTGTTTGATATTGATAAAACACCAGTTCGATGATCAACATGAAATCTTCGATTAATATTATTTAATAAAATTCGTTCATCATCATTTAAATTTACTAAATTTAAGAACAAAAATAAATTTTATTTTAAAAAAATCTATATTTATTTTTACATTTAAACCAAGTTATTTTTGGCCATGGTGATCCATTCACATTACATGTTAAGTTAACATCAGTTCCATTAAAAACTATTAAATCTTTACTAACAGATACAGTCGGTAGTTCGCCTAGAAAAATTTTATTGTTCGACTTTAAATATATGAAAGAAGAAAAAATAGTTTTACTTTTAATTTTTAACCATGTTGAACGAGTATCTTCACCAACATCATTTGTTAGAAAACATTGATACATACCTTGATCATTCCAATCAATATCATTAATCATTAATTGATTTTCGATCAATTGAATTCTATTAAAATTAAAAATAAAAAACAAAATTTTTTTTTTGTTTTTTTTCTTACTTTGATGATTGATTTGTTAAACGAACAGAATTTTTATACCATGTTACATTAACATCTGTTGATGTTCGTGTACCATTACAAGTAAAATTAACTTGATCTTGTAAATCAACATTATGTATGAATGGGAAAATTGTTGTGATTATAGGAACCTTATGTAAGATTAAAATATACTTTTTGTTTGTAGAAAATAATTATTCTTTACTACTTTACCTCGAACAATTAATTTAGCACTTGCATTTATAAATGTTTCAGTATTTCTTATTCGAACATGGCATAAATTATATTCCTTGATCATCAGCAATTATTCCACGAATTTCAAGTGTTCGATTGTAAGGACCATTACGAAATCGTCCATTTTTTTGATCAATTAATATAGAATTTTTTCGCCAAATTATTTCAATAGAATTAGTGAAACTAGTCCGATAGAAAAAAAAATCATTGATTAGATTCATAAAGCAAACAAGAAGTCTCTTTTGGAATCGGAATTTCATTTTTTTTTTTCAAACATAGACACATTGAAAGAAAGGCTATGCTCAATCTAGAATAACACTTGAAAACTTTATAGAATTTTACCCAGCATTAGCAACACATTCAAATGATTTAATAGGATCACCAATAGTTGCTAATTGATCTGTTAGTTTAACAATAAATTCTGGTATAGATAATTGAAATGAACTTTTTCGTCGATTAATTTGTAAACAATAATCTGGAGATTGTCTTGTACCACTACCAACAAATATATTTTCAATAATAGCAAAATAAATTTTTTCATCTTGATATTCTGTATTAAGTATAACAAGATTATATGTTGATGTAATAAAATATTTTTCATTAGGTATAATATGTTTATTGTCATGTGATAATGAACTACTTTTCAGAAATCATTGTACAGTTGGTTCAGATGATGAATTTATTATTGTTAAATATAATATAATAGCATCTGATTCATAAACATTTATAAATTGATCACGTTGATTAGTAATTAAATAATCAAAATACCAAACCATTAAGTGTGTTGCTTTACTTGCAACAATACCAACATCATTTTTAGCTAAACATCTATATGAGCCTTGATCTTGTTTTTTTAGCTGATGTTATTTCAAAATAACTAAATTTAGAAAAATTTGATATTAAATTTTGCCATTCACGTAACCGCATATAAGTTGGAGGTGGATAACCAATAGCATTACATGGTAAAATTTTACGAGAACCTAATAATACATCATCTTCACTGGATTCACGTAAAATTATTGGAGGTTGTAATTGTTCACCTAGTTTTTTTTTCATTTCAAAGATAAAAATTTATTAATAATATTAGAAATATAACTTTGTTGTTTTCTTACTAAAAATTGTAACAAAAAGAGTATATACAATACATAACAACTGGATAAACATAGGAGATGTACTTATGTAAATTAAGTTGATGACGAAATCTAAAATAATAATAAAGAAATACTTTGTTTTTTTTTTCAATCAAGTGATAGTTGACCGATCGGTGGCACTTTTGAAAGGTATATGAATGTATGATTCGTCGAGTGACCAATGACCTGGTCTCGTTGGTTGACTATCATCATATAATACTTGTTATATTTTCTTTCCTCTATAATCAAAGATTGTTTCGCGCGATTCTGTACATGTTTGTTTGTTGATATACATATATAGTGACAACAATAGTTTAAAATTGCAAAGTATCATTAAAGAAAATATTCTTTTTAAATGAGCGGACCCAAAGTAACCAATACAAAGCACAAAGAATGGCTATTGTTAAGAATAAAAATTTGTTTCCTCATAGAAATCAATATTATACTTAGCTGATTAACATGTTATTATGAAATGATTTCAATTTTCTATCAAATTATGTTTACAAAATCTGATAGAACAGTATTCTTTGCCTTTTCCTACGTGAAGATATGAATCAGGTCATATACTATCGATAAATTTTTATAATGTGTTAGTGGATTCACCTCATTGTTATTACTTTTCTTTTTCTTTCTCTCTTTCTTCTTGGTAGATCTTTCTTGATGTTATATAACCTTGATCACTCTTTATTTTTTTGTCCTTAAGTTTGTTCCTTGATCTAGGTAGTCGATATATATGTCACAGTACTGTTTAGAATATAGTTGAGTTCGGAATCATCCTAGTTCAGATTGGAATTCTGATTTGAACTAGTACATTTAAGAATCTTAATTCTTACTAGTATGATATAGAACGATCTTATGATGAACTAGTTCGATTTGGAATTCTAGTTTGAACTAGGATGGTTTGAGATTCTAATGTGACCTATTCATACCGGACTAGTACAAATTAGNTGATATACTTAAACGTTTTGGATCACACCAAAAATTACGACAATTAACACGAATATATTCATTTTTACTTGATAATAATTGAAGTAATTGTTCACGTACTTGATGACAAAGGGTGTGAGTGTGTGTGGGTGTGGGTGTGGGGAGTGGGTGGGTGTGGGTGTGGGGTGTGGGTGTGGGGTGTGGGTGTGGGGTGTGGGTGTGGGTACATAAGAACTTTATTATTAACATCCACACCCATACCCACACCCACACACCCATACCCACACCCTCACACTTTCTTTTGTCGATAATTGATATAATTATGTTCCCTAGATTCAAATGAACGATCTTCATTAAATGAATTTTCACCAGATGAATATGTATATGGCACAACGCTCTTTAATGAATTCATTTCTGTTGTAAAACGACAACGTCATTTCACTGTTGATTCAATATTCTGTAAAATTTCATTTTTTCAGATCTTCTCTATACAGAAGAAAAAAAGAAATTTACCAACAATTATTGTTTCATTTTCGATTGAATTTGTGTCTTCATCAAGAACAGGTTCATTTTCTTCTCGTTCTTTCAAACGTTGTGTTCATATGAATTGATTTTTTCCGCTTCAGCTTCATAATTTAATTGGAACATGAAGAACATTCATTGTTGTACATAATAAAGACGATGTGAAAGAGCATTTTCTTATTAAAATATTGTACCAAGAAGATTTCATAGAGTTCACGTTGAACACAAACAAGTGCATGAATATGACAAAGATCAGACTCAATTGAACTATTAAATAAACTACTTTTTTCAGCATTGATACCATTCAAAAGATAAACACCAACTAAATACATTTATATCAGACTAGAAATTGAAAGAAAGTGAAAGAGAGACGAACCATGTTGTCACCAATAACAAAATACTTTAAAAATAAGTTCTTCAATTCCACATCCAGTTCGAGCACCAATCAAACCATTATATCTAACTATATGTTTTCCTAATCCACGTTTTGTACATTCATTTTCTAAACATGTGCGAACATTGGCAAAATAAGATCTACTGTTTAAAAAAGAAGTATTATTCATTTGAAGACATTCTTGATATCAATTCTACCTTTTGCTAATAGATCAACTTTATTGCCAAGAACGAAGATCACATTTGGTTAAGTCTTTTGATTATCTATTGTTTGAACAACAAGATGTGACCATGATCGACTAATCGAATTTGATATATTAACAAGATCAACAATCAAAATAACTAAACTACGTGTTACGTTTGATTTCTGTCAAAATATCCTACTAAACTTCTTCATTAACTTCTAAATGTGAAATATCATTTGTATATGTGAAAAGAAAACATTGTTGACATTGACTTGTTCGTTTTTGTAATTTTGTCGACAGATGACATGTATAAATTTCAATTGGCATAAAACCTCTTCAAGAGATAATATTTGAATAAATAATTCTATTGAAAAAGCAAAACAATATCTTACGATTTAGTTTTATCAGCATATTGAAGTGATGGATCACAACCAATACAACGAGCACTGTCATGTACTGGTATTGTTTTTTGTTTCTAAATTAATTTGAAATTGATTTTCAGACGATGGAAAAGTAAAAATGGATGAATGAGGTAGATTATCTTGATCTTCATTTCATGATAATCGAATATCATCTTTGGGTATTTGTGAAAAGATTTTCTATGCGACTTGACGTTCTTCAATCTTGTCGAACCAGACGTTTTTTATTTTCAGATAATTAACCAGTAGAACGAACAGCATGTGCTGGATCTTTCGAGAGAATTTAACGAAAGACAGATGAAAGATTATCTAATGAAACAAGTGTTGTTTCGCTAATAAAGTGTTACCTATCAATCAACGGTGATGATGATTATGTTTGAGAAAAACGATGAGCATCTGCTCAGAGTGATATTCAACGTTGAAAAATTGATATTCTTCGAAGATTTAACATTTTTTTGTTAAGAAAATCATTTTCAGTAATCAGTGACTATTACAACACCAATTCATGGTTAAAATAATAAACCATTTCAAGTATCAATAATAAAGATTTAGATTAATTTTTATTGAAATATGCAGCGTTTCTAACAGAAATCTAAAATACGAAGTCAACATACACTTTGTCGTTTCAAGCAAAGTGTCAGATGATACTTTGTTTGAGATGAATGCGGCCTACTTGAACTCTGACACTCACAGCGTCAATATGCTTTGATTGCTCAAAAAAAAAAGAATTTTTGTTATAGCGATGTAAAAATCTCAACAATGGAAGAATATATTCATTGTAGAATGTAAAACATTTCACGTCAAGATACATATCAATGCAGCTGAAATGGAATGGAATCAGGGTTGCCAAAACAAAATCTTACAAATCGGAATTCTTTTGCCTCAATTCGGAAAATTTCGGAAATATCTGGTTAATTCGAAAAGTAGTTTTTAAGCTTTTCGACACTTAAGTTGACTTTTTTTTCTGGTAAAAAAGCTTTCTGAGTTTGGTTATCCTCTCTGTAGATATATTTCATCAATGTTAAAACAAATTCATTCCTTCCTGAAAAAAACTTTTTTTTTAATTTCATGGAATTTCATGTTGCTGTTGGTTGAATAGATATTATTGTTTGAATAGATTCTTGTTCTTCTTCACTCACAGTCATACTGATAGACGAATCATCAGATTTATCATCCATAATAACGTTTACTTTATTCTGAAATACAACCATTAAAAAGTAAAACGACATGTTTACTTACATATTTAGATTAAACTTTTTGGAGATATTGTTCATTAATATGACTTCTTCGAAAAGCAAACATTGATTGAAGCTATTTTGACAAATCTTAGATGAGATGAGATTTTTAAAAAAAAGTTTATCATATTGTATCTTCTCTTCTTATCTGTCAGAATAAAATCAATTATCCAATGATCACAGGAACATAAAGACGGTGCAATGAAATCTATGAAAAGTTATACCGAAAATTGTAACGAAAAGAAAATTTTAAAAAATACTACGATTCGGAAAAATCTCAAGAATTCGGATGAATTAGGAAAGTCGGAAAGCAATCGGAAAAACTTAGAAAATTCGGAAATTTCCGACTAATTCGGATCATCTGGCAATCCTGAATGGAATCGAATAGATCGAGCCTTATCAGTGTAGGACTTCTTTTGTTTGTTTTCATTCGACTGAATGAGTCGTATGCTTTTCTCGCTTATCTCAAATTTATGATCGTTATTCTTATTCAGTATTTTATCAAGAAACACTATTAAATATGCTTAGTAGCAATGTATAATCAATGAAACAACCATCTTAAAATTATTCCATAATTTACAAAAGGAAGAATCGATAATATAAATGCATTTATCCTATAACCAACAAAGACTTATGTTTATTCAGAAATACCTTAGTAAAGAACCAGTATAATATAGATATTGAACTTTATTCTAAATCAAATCACTTGTGTGTGACATTTCATTGAAATTAGATTAATGCATCTTGTTTGATTTGTTTTCGATAAAAAAAGATACCATATGAGAATAGGGTTTATCAAAAATAACTGTCTTAATAAAAGAAACTGTTCAACAGAAAACATGCTTACGTCAGTAATAGTATTAAGATTTCAGTCATATTTGGACTTGAATTCGATAGTGTTTTTAATTCTAACTCATTTTAGTCGATTAAATTGAATTCTATCGATCGAAACAAATTATGCTGAATTTATTTTTCTTAAATTTATAGCTGTAATATACATGTATTTCTTTTCTCTCTTAACTGGACGTCAAAAATTGGTATATAAAGTAATGCTGTCATCAACACGGCAAAAAAAATAAACGACTTTTTATTTTGTATCAGACGGACGATCGTTCAATCTTTCGTTGTATTGACCGAGTGAAAAATTGGTACAAGTACAGAATGAGAACACTATTCATATAAATAGCATAAAGACAGAAGAGAAAAGAAATGAGTTGGAAGAAAACATAACATTATTGAACGAATACATCTATTCTGAATAGAGGACGTTCTTTTTGAACATTCTTTTATTCGTGCAATAATGTTATCTTTTCTTCCAACTCATTTCTTTTCTCTTCTGTCTTTATGCTATTTATATGAATAGTGTTCTCATTCTGTACTTGTACCCTATTTACAATAAACAATAATCTAATGAAGAAAAACAATTCTATTATAGATTTCTTTTTTTTTATTTAGATAAAATGATCACTAGAATCGAAGCATTACCTAATGAAATTCTTTTGTGTATATTTTCTTATCTTGAATGGTTTGACATGTTAACATGTTTATGGTCATTGAATATTCGGTTTAATTCTCTTATATGTTCAGTTCTTTCAATAAATAACAATTTAATGAATAGTGGTCTTGTTATTAAATGTGGTTTATCTTATAATAAATGTTGTTCAATATTATTTCCATTGATTTTGAATTCTTCATCTCTTTCTTCTTCTATTCAACGTATTCATTTAGATGGAAATAATTCATCTGCTTATGATCTTTGTTATGAATGGTTATTTAATGATAAAAATATACTTCATTTTCCTAATCTTAAATCACTTGTTCTTACTCAATGTGGATCAATTAGATCAATAGTTCAAAGTTTATTATATCTCATTCAATACCAATTAGATAACCTTACATTAACATTTGACAATTCAGTGTTGTATCAAATGCTTTACGTGAAACGAACGACAGTTAGAGTTTCTGATATAGGTAATTAATCATTTAATAAAATATTCAAATTGATTTGTTAGAAAAAAATCATCGGAAGTGATTTTTTTGTTATAAAAAGAAAAAACGAGCTTTTCTGATTTTTGTCATCTTTATGATCGATGTATGCATTGTAAAAATAAGACTTGACGTATATCTATAATCAGATATTGAGATATCTTTAGAAAATGCTAATCTTCATATTAAAAACTAAAGATTGATTTTATTCATTTTGACAAGAGCAAAGTTTTTTAAAATGATAAATCGTTTTGTAAGATGAAAGGTATCTCGTTGAGAGAAAATCTAAACTGACTCATACTTATGATGTCTGATTCTTCATTTATCACTTGAGATGTTTAGTAGCAAAATTTCCAAGCATATTATCACAAGAGAAAAGCTCAAACTGAGAAAAATGCAGATAAAGAATGTAGTCAAATATCTTGTCGTTTTGATCGGTAGCTATCTTATTAATCATAGAATCAATATTTGAGTATTGATTGTCATTCACTGTAGAAATTCTGATATAATTATCGAAAATTACAAACAAATTCTATAAAGAAATATACTTGAATTTTAATAATAAAAAATCTCGTTTTTTTAAATTTTATTTTGAAGAAATATTAGAAAAACAAATGATTATGTTTGAACAATTTCTTTATAAATTATTCTCTGATCAATGTCAATTAACATCTCTTCAACTTGATATTAGTAGTGACTGTAGAGCTGGTGGCATTCATCAATGTTTAAATGCAAATTCTTATGTCTCTTCGAAATTTCTTCAACATCAACATCAATCTTGTTGTTTGACTCTTCGTCATTTATATATTCGACTTAATCAAACTTGTTTTCTTGAAAATCTTATTGAGCATGTACCTAATATCGAACAATTATTGGTTGAATTTGATTGTTCATTGGGTTCATTTGCATCATGGAAATCAAATGTCGAAATATTGAAACAATCAAAGACAAGTTGGTTTAATAAAGTAAAGAAAAACTATAAATAAATATATTTTATTTATCGTAGAAATATTTCTTTTAATTAATTAAAATAATTAAATTTTTCTAGATACCAAAGCTACAGGATTTTAGTTTAAAAACTTTCATTCAAGATGATTTTGGCTTTATCTATTTGAAATGGCTTCTTAACAACTTAAATTATATTGAAAAACTTAAAGTTCATATTAAAAATGATAAACTAACTGAAACAAAATGTCAAAATATATGGAAATGTTTGATTGATGCAAATTTCGTTCATCAATATTGTTTACCTGATATAATACATAATTTAATTTATTTCAATTTTTATATTTGTTCGGAATATCAATTATCATTAAATGATATCTGGAAAATAATAAATTCATTTAAAATTCATTCTTTTTTTACTGAACATCAATGGACAAATGTCAAATGTTTATTTGATCCAATTATGTCATGTCTACATCTTTTTTCTTCTTTTACTAATGCATTTCAATCTTCTAATTGTTTGATGTCAGTTATTATTTATTAGAAAAATCTCAAAGAACTTCTTCGCTAAATGAAAGTTTTTTTTGTTTTTTCTTTTAGTAATTATTCAAATATTTTCAATTGGTCAGCTTTCCACTATCAACGGTTTAGTTTACATCCATCAATTCATTTTTTTTTAGAAGAATTTAATGAATTATATTCGAATCTTTCTTATATCAACATATATAAACGTAAATTGTTTTGTCATCAAAATATTTTTTTAGATAAATAAAAGAGTAAAGAGAACAGCAATGGGTGTATGTATAGATTTTCATAAGATATTTCTAAAACAAATCAAGAGAAAACAAATATTTTTATCGAAACAATTATAGAATGAAAGATATTTGTTCATGAATATTGGACGAGGAGTGTTTTGAGCACCAGAAAAGGAGTGAAATGAGCACCAGATCGATGAAGTGTGTTTTGAGCACCAAAAAGAGTGAAATGAGCACCAAATTTATCGATATGTGAAATGAGCACGGAAAAAAGGGTGAAATGAGCACCGATTTTCTCTATGTGTTAAATGAGCACCAAAAAATAAGACAATTGAGCACCAAATGAAAAAGAACCAATAAAAAACAATAGAAAATTAATTAATTATTGTATCAAACAAGGAAAAGACTCGTATTAGTCACATGTAAAGCTGCTATATTTTGATATCTTTCATTAACACAAATTAAACACATAACAACTAGTGATAAATGTTCCACCAAACGCAAGATTTCCATACACAATACACTACAGGAGTCGGATACCATAGTAAACATACATGCTGAGATATCTGGTCTTCAATAAAAACTTCGGATTCTCGCCCACACCCTCAGTCTAGTTCTTGCCCTGACTCACCCTCACCCTCACTCTGGTTCTCGCCTTCATAAATTAATCTGTGTTAATAAAAGATATCAAAATATAGCAGNTTTGACCTGTAAAAACTGCCCACTAAATTTTGCACCGCTTTTTATCAAATACATGATTACGTTTTGATATTTTACTATATAACTGAAGCGTAGTGTAAGGTCTTTCTTCACTCAAAATATCATACTATTCGCTGCAAGATTGCTGCCTTTGGAGATCTCTGAGTCGTTGGCGCCAAGAAGATAATGCATGGCACACCATTTCTCTTTGGAAGATGCTTCTTTCGTGAAGCTTGTAGGCAATAATGCTCAGCTACAAGCAAAGTTTCTCTAAAAGTTTGAGCTCGATTTATTGAAGAATTACTCAATTATGTTCGACACAGTGCAATAGGGAGTTTTTCGCTCTTCGAATAGTCACAATGTAATGCCCACAGTTCTAGTTCGGATTTATGGACTTCGATGAAATTAACAGCGTAGATAGCTAGAGTATAGCTGTGAATAATGAGGAATCAGCTGTGCCATAAAGCCCATTCTTTTCTGATACATAAACCTCAGGAAAAAACAAGTGCGATCCATTATTATACGCCATAATTCTTGTTGTATGTTAGCAATCAAAGCAAGCTCATGGCTATGATCTAAATTCTTGGTGGATTATATGCACACGAATTTTCAGTTCTCCAGTACTTATGGTAGCCGAGATCTGGATGGGTGGAGACTCTTGTCGGCTACTGTATATCTAGTTCCACTATTGATTAAGTTTTATTTAAAATTTTCAGATTGAAAGAGAATGAAGACTGGTAAAATTTTACTCTTAAAGACTAAGTTTATCATCAATCAAGAAAAGGAAGCCGTTTCGACTAAAAGACAAATATATATAAGATTTTCTATTAAAATTTAAATTAAAATCAACCATTTTCTCTCGATATTTTGATCGAATTTGAATAATTGTGTTGGATCGATCGATCTGTTATGATTATTACTTAAAATATAAATCTTTTTATTTTAGTCAATACCACGATATCAAAAAATCGAAATGAAATACGTGAAAAAGTGCTTGCTCATCTGATTTCAATGACTGTTCAACTTAAATATCTTCTGGTTGAACGATTTGAATGGCTTTTACATGTTGTTCAATACGTAAGGAATTACTTTTTTGTAAATTCAGTGTTATAGTTACGAATATAATATTTCCATTTATACATAATTGATTTAAATAGATTTAAATGATTGAATATGATATGATGATCAAATCTTGATTCAAATAATGTGTAAGGATTTTAGAGAGAATTAAAAAAAACGATCATCATCAACTGGCAATCGTCCTTAGATATCTACTATGGTCACAAATTATTGATTGCACAAAACACGATAAACTTTGTTTTCTGTATCATTTTATATAATTTAGTTTGATTTGAGACATTAATTCTAATAAGTTAATATTTCGTTTCTATTTAGGCATCTAACGAACTGAGAACGAATGCATTAAGTACTGTTCAATATACTGAATTCAGACTTCCAAGTTGTAATTACAGTGATAACAATGTGGTTTCTGTTGGTAAACATCTTGTGCCTTTTCTTAGCACGTATATGCCTCATTTACAAACATTACGTCTTTGGCGACCTGATGATTTCCCATGGACATCTCGTAAGTTTATTTTAAACAAACGAAATCAATCATCATAAGATCTGTCTCCTATAAGATTATAATAAAGATCATATTATTTTAATTTCCTTAAATATGAATTTTCTTTTTTCTTTTATTAATCAAAAAAATGTTGTTATAATGATACAAGGTTGAACATGAAAGAAAACTTTCTCTTGTTTTTGTTTTTTTGCATCAATTCTATGTAAGCCGTTCATCTTGTTCTACTAAACAAGATTTATATTTATGTAACATAGATTCGATATTCGAGAAGTAGGATTGAATGCTTTGAAAACCTTTATTTCATCTTCAAATTCTTTAAACAACAAATAAAAATAAAATAATTATGAAATAATTGAACAATCATTAGTGATTCAAATGATTTGAATTGTAGAAGTTTTTTCACCAATATTTCTCTAATTTAATTGTATCGATAACTTCGATATCGATTTTAAGTTTAGAAAGAAAAAAAATATAGACAAATATATTCTTATTCATTTAATAATATATGTCATCTTTGTGTGTTTTCATAGAAGAAAAGAAAAAGAAAGGATTCAGGAAAATTTTATTTGAGAGTATCAACTAAATTTATAATGTTCTTAGAGTTATCTAATCAAAAATCAAATGATTAGCAGAAAATGATAGAAATGATGATCTCATTCACAAAATTTTTCTTTCTCTGTCGAATTAAGCAAATAACTACGTAAAACAATCACTTTAGAAGAATCCGGGAAGAGTCTTGACAGATTGATAAAATTCTTGTAGAGAGACCTTATGAAGGAAGTCCCAAAAACAACAAGTTCTTTTCTTATACATCTATTTCGAACACTCAGTTTTCTTTTTTTTAAACTATGCATAAAATAATTCACATGTAAATCGATTTTTTTACAAAAAAAGAAAATAATTCAGCAATAAAAATGACTTGTATAAATGATTTATTTTTTAAAAAAGAATGACAAATGAAGAAGATCTTTTACAGCAATCTTTTAGATTTGATAAAGAAGAAAATTATTTTTAATATCATCGCTGATGTATTTTACAAATTGATATTGTTTTACTGTCTTTTTCTTTATTTAAGTTCGACCACATTTAAACATGTATCTTTATAGAAATTTACTTCAACCTTGGCTAAAGTCTCTAAAAACACGCGAATCTATTGGTATATACATAGAAATACAACGCTTTGATACGAGAAAATACACTTATAATATAATTCTTTTTTTTTAGCTCAACATGTGACTATATTTGAGCAAGATCTTTCTCAATTGGTCAAAAACTTAAAAGAATTTACTTTTCTCGATATTTTTGGTGAAATTCATTACGAAAAAGTTGAACCTTATCGTTTAATGGCTGAATCTCTCTTTCCTCATAGTCGAGTAGATGTTGAAATATCAAGATTTCGTTTGTGGATTTAATTTTTTGTTTGTTGTATATAAGAGATATGCATTAAAGACAATTATCATATAATTGACAACTTGTTTTCTGTTATGTTTCTTTCTTTTTTATTTCTTGACTGTTCAATAATTGTATTTGATAATAAAAATATGAACATTAACTCTCAAATGAAATCTTATTCTTTATCATAGAATCTATTATAAACGAAAGCAAAATGAACTTTGTACTAATCTGTTTTATACATATTCAACAGCTTCTCATAGTTTTCCTTACTGTTCATAACCATCATCATCCTAGAGAAATTGTGGAAAAAAATAACGTTTCTACATGCGACAAACACATTTTAATGTATTAAAAGATATTTCCTGTTTTTGAGAGAAAAACTTGTTTGAACATTCTCTTGTTTTCAAATACGATTTTTCTCCTTAGATTTATGAAAACATTTTAGTGTTTTAGAATTGAACTCGAAAATTCAATCGTTCTAAGTAGAAATTCTATGAATACCTCTCAAAATCTAATGTAGTTTGACTTTTTTTCGAATCAATATTTTACTTGATTCGACAAACATGGCTTAAATTGAGTACATAATTCAGGTATCTATATGACAGTCGTTCCTTATTAGTTTTCTCATATATAATGTCTATTCAACTTTAAAGAGAGATTTTATTATTTAAACAAGTTAATATTAAACATTAAAATTAAACTCATTTTTACACATTCAATCTTTGTCATGACTCGTCATTTCAGCCGTTAAACTGAACTCACGTTCACAAAACGATAAAAATTACAGTTGTAGCCCTAGTGAATATCTTTAGCGTTTCCATTAAGAATTCTGCAGGGATTTACTGTTTTTTAGTGATGACAACCTGTAGTAATGAAATTTCAGGATTCTGCCAGATTTAAAATAGAATTCAATCAAGATTCTGAGTATTTCGAACAAGATCTTAGCAGAGTGCTAAGCAATTGTTGACTGTANATTTCTCTTTTTTTTGTATCAATTCTATATAAGTCGTTCGTCTTGTTCTACTAAACAAGATTTATATTTATGTAACATAGATTGAACATTTGAGAAGTAAGATCAAATGCTTTGAAAACTTTAATTTTATCTTCAAATTATTTAAACAACAAACAACAATTGTAGTTTTTGAGTAGATTTATTTTTTCTTTTTGTAATTGAATTTGATAAAATGTGACATTTTATTCATTATCATAAAATAATTATGAAAAAATTGAGCAATCATTGGTGGTTAAAATGATTTGAATTGTAGAATTTTCTTTACAAATATTTCTATAATTCAATCGTATCGATAACTTCGATATCGATTTTAAGTTTAGAAAAAAAAATACACAAAGATATTTTTATTCATTTAATAATATATGCCATTTTTGTGTATTTTCGTAGAAAAAAAGAAAAAGAGAAGATTCAGGAAAATTCTATTTGAAAATATCAATTAAATTTATAATGTTCTTAGAGTTATCTGTTCAAAAATGAAATGATTAGCAGAAAATGATAGAAATGATGATCTCATTCACAGCATCTTTCTTTCTCTATAGAATTAAGCAAATAATAAAATTATTTTGGAAGAATCCGTAAAGAGTCTTGACAGATTGATAAAATTCTTGTAGAGAGACTTTATGAAGGAAGTCGCGAAAAAGCAACTTCTTTTCTTATACATCTATTTCGAATGCTCAGTTTCCTTTTTTAAAACTATGCATAAGAAAATTCATATGTAAATCGATTTTTTACAAAAACAAATAATTCAACAACAAAAATGACTTGTATAAAAAATATAAAATGATTTATTTTTTAAAAAAGAATGACAAATGGAGAAGATCTTTTACAGCAATCTTTTAAGTTCGGTAAAGAAGAAAATTATTTTTGATATAATCTCTTATATATTTTACAAATTGATATTGTTTTACTGTCTTTTCTTTATTTAAGTTCGACCACATTATAACATATATCGTTATGAAGTTTTACTTCTAGATTGGCTGAAGTCTCTACAAACACCCGAATCTATTGGTATATGCATAGAAATACAACGCTTTTATACGAGAAAATACACTAAGAATATAATTCTTTTTTAGCTCAACATGTGACTATATTTGAGCAAGATCTTTCTTAAGTGGTCAAAAACTTAAAAGAATTTACTTTTCTCGATATTTTTGGTAACATTCATTACGAAAAAGTTGAACTTTACCGTTTAATGGCTCAAGCTCTCTTTTCTCATAGTCGAGTTGATGTTGAAATATCAAGATTTCGTTTGTGGCTTTAATTTTTTGTTTGTTATATATAATAGATGTGTATTAAAGAGAATTACCATATAGTTGACTATTTGTTTTCTTTTCTCTGTTTCTCCTTCTTTTTTATTTATCAGCTGTAAAATAATTCTATTTGATAATAAAAATATGAACATTATTTTTCAAATGAAATTCTATGCTTTATCAAAGAATTCATTATAAACGAAAGGAAAATGAACTATGTACCAATCTATTTTATACATATTCAACAGCTTCTCGTAGTTTTCCTTACTGTTCATAACCATCATCATCCTAGAGAAATTATGGAAGAAAGTAACATTTCTAGATACGACAAACACATATTGTAATGTATTAAAAGACATTTCCTGTTTTTGAGAGAAAAACTTATTTGAACATTCTCTTGTTTACAAATACGATTTTTCTCCTTAGATTTATGAAAACATTTTAGTGTCTCAGAATTGAACTCGACAATTCAATCTTTCTAACTAGAAATTCTATGAATAACTCTCAAAACCTTATGCAGTTTGACTTTTTTCGAATCAATATTTCACCTGATTTGACAAACATGAATTAAATTGAGTACTTAATTCAGAGTGTCTATGGCAATCGCTTCTTATTAGTTTTCGTATATATATATAATTTCTATTCAACTTTAAAGAGAGGCTTTATTATTTAAACATGCTAATATTAAACATTGAAATTAAACTCATTTTTACACATTCAATCTTTTTCATGACTCGTCATTTCAACCATTAATTAATGTTGAATAACTCATCTGCTATATTTACTGTAATAAATCCTTATGTAGTAAAAAAATTCATTTATAGCTTTTTTGAACTGTTTGACGTATTCGATGATAATTATGAATAATACGTGTCAATTCCATATGATCAAATCCATCTGTTACTGCTATTTCAGTCATCTAAAATACTTGACATTAAAAAGAACTTCTTATTATACAAGTAACGCTCGTCCGTGTGACTTGCTTGACTCTCGACTGAATATTCGGCTCTTTCGATGTTGTATACTGCTTCACAGTCTTCAACAAAGCTAGTATTCAGCGTTTCAAAAGGGTGGGTAGGTCTGTGGACGTTGATATTAGTGTCAATCTTGTTGTGCACAATGGTATGCGGGCCCATGTGATCACTTTTGTCATAAATTCATCTAATGAAACTGATACCCACACATTGATACTCAACAGAGATCTAAATTAACTACAATATGGCAGCAGTATCCGCACGCATCTGAAAAAAAGAGATTATATTCAATTTTCTGAGAGGTCAAGAAGCAAAACGCATTCATGACACTATTGTGAAAACGCGCCATACTCTTTGAAAATTCTACTAAAAATCTGTATGCTTTCTAGAGCGTTTGCTAGAAAAATATGGGTTTAGCTGAACTGCTAGCTTAAAATAAATCATATTAGATCTGGTCTGTAATCGGAATACTATACTTGAAAGAAGCTTCTACTCAAAGTAGCCGTCGGACTAGACAGATAATTTGAATATACCCGCATACATTCCGACACGTGAATGAACACAGACAAGAACACATACCAACAGAAAAACTTCCTTTCATTTCATTCATATCTACTTCCGATGCAGAGAATATAAATTCTTTGAGTGATGTTTTCCGTCAAATGTACTATTCAAATATTGTGCACGTCCAGAAAAGCTGTTCTCACACTTTATTTGAAAATATTTCTCAGTTGTTTGCCACTTCTAGTCCGTATTCAAACCCATTAGATCTAGACCTTTGACATTTATCCGATGAATACCAACAACCTGAAGTGTTCCTTCAGGGGATTTTCAAGCGCAGCAGCTAGTCGCTCGTCGGCGACCCTCCGGGGCGCCACTCACAGCTAGCCGCTGCCATGTTTAATTCTATTCCTCCATAAGACCATCCTTTTTTATTTACATTCCATCTGATCCGAGACTGCGCTTGCTTCGAAAAATGGTTAGATTTGTAGCATGAGAATTCTAGCTGGAAAATCAGAGTTTTATTGAAATTCCTCATTAAGGAAATATTAGTGCAGTAGTCTCAAGAAAGATCTAGCTTTTATACAGATCTTTTGTGAGGTGAATCTGCAGTGTGCTTCCAAGAGTCAGAACTCCTGAAAACATATACAAGGTTAAAAATATGGTTTTTTCATAATAATAATAATACATTACAATTTATTGCCACATCCCAGTTTAAGACCCTCGTCTATCTATGAATACATTTCCTCAGATCATAGGTTTAACTATATGAAAGAATGGGGGTGGATGCGCTAGCAAAATCGGTCCTATTTAAAAATTATAAGAAAACCCAGCTAATTTGTATTCCTTTTCTGCATCATTTCAAAAGATACCGGTACCATTCTGTGTGCATAGATGGCTTTTGCTATGTTTTTAAAAGCTGCAAAGATACAGAGATTTGAAATGCTTGGCCAGCACTTCTTAAAAAAATTACAATGGTATTTCTATACCAAACATACAGGATTTCAAGGTGTGAATCACTTCGATCTCTTGGGGATTTCAAAGGTATTGTCGAAGCATTCCAAATCTCCGTGTCTTTGCAATTTTTGAAGACATAATGAGAGCTATCTATTCACAAAAAAACGTGCCGGTGTCTCTTGAAATGTTAGAGATCGAAGTAATTTATCCTGTCAAATCCTATATATTTAATAG